TCTTCATCTTTAGTAAGACAAGTTTATGGCCTAATATTAAGGGAGATTGCTGAGGGATGTGCCAGGAATAGAGATCTCTGCCTCGGTGAAATTTCTGCTTTAAAACTTTAAACTCTCCACTTTATACGCTTTATATTGATCCAAACTGAGTTTAAATAACGTCATAGTATTGAATAGTTTATAAATGTTTATTAAATGTCATTTTTGTTTTTACAAAGCAAATTAATGGCAAGAGGCAAACTTGCAAAATACGTACACAAGTAAAAAGCCTTAATGAACTAGCAACTCATTTTGTAAAAACCAAACCGTTCTTTCCACTTTTAGACTTCCTTTAGAAATAATTTATTGCCGATCCTGAACTAAGGCACTGACAGAGAAATTTACAATATCAGATAATGTGCTTAGTTCCTGGAAAGTTATAAAAAGATGTACTTATTAAAAAGAACAACAACAAAAAAATCAGAAATCACAGTCCTTTTTATACAGAGCTAATACAAACCATGCTTTGTTAGGTACAGTACGAGGTTGTTACAAAGTACACTTTTCCATAAGGCTTCTTGTGGTGCTTAAGCTCTCACGGGTGTTAGGAGGAGGACAGGAAAGCCAGGAAAAGGGCATTTTTTGCATTTCTGCTTTCAGGTCAGAGGTAAAGAAAAGGTAAATGGCATATAGTCCGTTAGCATTGTTACATCATCTGCCAAGAGGGGCTTCAAAACGTCCAGGGAGAAATTCATCCTCTTTTCATTCCATTTATTCTGAACTTTTTGAAGCCCTCTCGTACTTGCCAAGAATGCCTACTTGCCCACCACCCCCCTTCTTTTTTTCTTGGTACCATCAAATATTGAGAACAAGCTCTTCACTTAACTGTGGCAAGAAACATTATAAAAAAGCTAGTTTCTAAATATAAACAGTCACATTCTGAGAAAGTAGCTTTACTGTTACTGTGATCCTCACAGACTGAGAATTTAGGCATAGCGGATCCGACCATGCTTCGCATCAATTGGAACGTTCCATCAGTATCAACCACAGCAGATTTGGATAGGTGACAAAATCTCTTTATCAACCCAGAAAATACTGTCCTATCATGAAGGCTTTCAAAACAATCAGTGCACCATGTAAGCTTGCATGGTAGCGGAAAACACAGACACGTGAATGCTAGCTGCACAGCCCAGTAGACGCAGGAACACTAGTCATACAGCCACTGGACTTCAATGATGTGAAATCACCACTTACCACTGTAAGTCTAGGATGATACTTGATGTTATTTGAAAGGCTTACACTTAAACAGCCATCTCTACTAATAATTTATTAAGCCCTAACCTTGTACCGTAGAAGAATGGATAAGCATTTGCTTTATTTAGGTCGTGGAGACAGAGAGACTCCCACTGACATGCCATCTTCATCTCTCTCCCTCACGATGACGACTAGATTTAAAAAGCCAACTTTTAATGTATCCTATCATTAAAAAGAAAAGGAGACCCACCCACGGATAAATGATCTGTAACTGATAGGACCAACCTCGCTGAAGTGATGGGAAGCGACACCAAGCGACCTGGTTCGAAGACAGATTCCCAACTCAAAAAAGACAGTGTCTGTTGGAGATTCCTCTCATCCAACCAAACGAAATGAAGAGGAGCAGAGTGGCTTTCTCTAGATTTATTAGGGAGTTTGTTACAAAAGTCTGACTAGACTTTTACAGGCATTGTTTCAAGAATTCAAACAAGAAATGAAGAGTTAACACTGATCGTTATAGCCTTCTCATTACATACACAGAAATGGCACTGCTCCAAATGGCAATGCAGAGAATTCTGCTTCAAATGGATCATTATAATGAAAGCACCAACTTGAGTTGAGGGCTTCTTAAATGTGATTTCAGTTTTGGGACATACTAAAGCATAGCTTGGTAATTTTATTCTTCATATAAATAAGGCATAACAGGTATGGGTATTAATGCTGAAAAATACATTTTATCAAAAGCATGAATACAAGTATTTGGGTGTACATCAAAAATCAAGATTTATTCATTCTCGCTTACAGGGCACAGGACTTCAAATGACGTGAAATCAGTACTTCTTAATCACCATCATTTCTGGCATGACGGTAACTATGTCCTACTTCCAACCAACCACTGCCAGCCACTGTCAGGACAAGGACCTCAGAGGTGGGTCAGCAGACCTTCTTAATGGACAGTACATGCCAACACAACATCTTCACACCAAACCAAGCAAGGGCATTGTTTTCCAGTCCACTAGGCCTCCTCTGGCTGCAGTTACTCTCTGGCTCTCAAGTGGTCTTTCCAGGCAATAAGATGGAAGTAGACAGTTGAATGTGTAAGACATCTGGCAGAGAGCAACAACTGAGGTGACTAAAATTAACAGTCAAGTGGCAAATACATACCTTGAGTTATTTAGATCTTCAGAAAACATTTGACCAAACTTTCCCCTTAAAAATCAAGCCCCGATTGGTGTTGGTCTTTGATTTATAAGGCAATGCTCTGGGGTGGCAAATGTCTTCAAGATCAATAAAGACACTTGTGTGGTATTTCTTAAGGATGAAGAGAGAAGGCATTCAGGCTTTAAGAACAGAATGAAGAATAGAACTAGGCACATTTTATTCCAAAGCTGAAACATGAAAACTTAGAAAACTGAACATACCAAAAGAACAATGATTTTAAATTACTTTTTTAGAGACAGTAGGGGATGGAAGGGGGGGGGTTGGCATGGTGAAAATTACAAGCACCCTTTCCATTATGCTGATAGCGCCTCTCTTCAGACAGCGGTACTAGAAAAGGATCTGGTTTCCCTACTTTAGCTTTAAAAAAACACAGTATATCAAAAATGTGGTGGTTCAAGGCTTTAGACTGAGTCTCACAGCTCTACTGGACAACCACCCAAGTCTGGCATTAAATGTACATGGTTTACTGCCTCAAAATATTTTCAAGAAGACTATTTTAAACAAATATTGACTCTGACACATGGCACACATCAAGGGAGATCATCACAAATGCCAAACAACATCCCATGTTTGTCTGGTTTTTAACATTGTTTGGTGGTGGTCAACATGGAGAAAGTTGGTGATTTCTGCTTTGCTGGCAACACCTGTGGACCACATCACAGAGACTGAATATAATTTGAGTAAGACTAAATTTCCTCTTTATACACGGAACTTACTTTAGTCTTCACTGGAGACAATTCATTAAAAAGACTGGCTACAATTTGCACGTAGACCCTTCACTGAAAAGCCCAGTGTTAACTGTGCACACCTTCCGAGACATTCACTAGCATGGAAACTATGCTAATCCTGTGCATTTCAACAACGTATTCTTTTTGGCAAGAAGCACTTGATTATTCAAACATGCATGAACTGTACTATGCACACGGACATTATGAGGTTGACTACATGTTTCTATCTCATGTATACCAATGCAGGAAACACTGGGAGCTACTATGTATGTGGTGTTGGTGGAACTTCAACTGCAAGAAAGGATGACGCACGAGAACACTGTGTGGTCAGTTCCCGGACAAGCCCTCCCCCTCCCCTTCTACCTACCGGGAACATAGTTCTAGCATAATGGTCTTGGCAAGGCTGCGTGATCCACAATGCTGGCTCATCTTTCAAGGGCTTTCTAACCAACAAAATACCTGAGAAGAACCAGCTATACAGTAAAGTCACAGATATCACAGTCTTAGTCACAATTTTCAGGAAAAGGAACAGAGCTGTCAGATTTCTCAAAAGGTCCCCAGTCTTAAAGCAGTCTGTTTCTCTACATCCAATCCTAACACTACACACAACTTCCAAGGCAGTCAGTACTTCACTGGGGCAAACTAGCCCCTCAGACAAGTTCCCCATGAAATGTGTCTGTAACCAGAAAGCTACTTCATGGGTGAGGGGAGGACAAAGGTCATCAACTTCAGGTGCGAGCTAAAATATTACTACTTATCCTTACAATTATCCTTAAAACGTTTAAAATGTACCTCAAAAAAAGCTGGCATTTCATAAACAATAACTATACAAACATGCACATACTGTATCTTTTAGACACACCAAGTGATGAGAAATCTCAAAAGAAAAAAACCCAAAAACCTCAAAACGAAGCCACGCCTTCTTGAAGATGTGACGGGAAAAATACTGCCCTTGACAAGTTCCAAATGCAGGTGGAAACCCAAACGCAAATGCAGACACCAAATGCCACCATCTGGAGTGGATGGGCAGACGTGTGGGCGGTGACATCACGACCATGCACAATGCAGACCCACGTCACGTCATCAGGACAGGATCGCCAAGCTGGAGAATATAACACGGGAGCTTCTGGAAGTGTACGTCTACTCTGGAAACTGCCACCAAGTTACCTGCAGTTTTTAGTTGCAGCCCGGGCCAGAATGCTTCACATGTGGCACACTCATTACAGGGTGAAGCAATCTGTAAAAGGCAAATTAGAGTGCCCTCTTTACTTCTGATCCAAACACTAATTTATGGCACCTGCTTGCTGTCTGCCCGCCCCCTCCCACCCCTACCCCCCGTACCATTTGTGAACTCTTCATTAGCATCCGACCAGAAATCCTTATGTAAACTTTAAAACACTAAGAACATCACCTTCAGAAACCACAGATATTTCAAAAACAAAATAAGCAATGGGAAAAAAAAAAACCCAAAACAAAAAACTGTGTAAACCTATGGGATGGCATTCCTTAGGTCAAACCTCTTAACAATAATAGCCTTTTCCAAATGGGTCACCCTCAAGACAGGCATCAGGTGCCGCTGCTATGTATAAGGCAGACAAAAGGCAGCTTACTTTGTTTGTTCGGAACCTCACACCTACAGACAGTTAGGGGCGCCTTCTATACTTGGCACTACGCAAGAATTCAGTTTGACAGCTGGAAAGAGGTACAGCCTGAAATACAGTGAGTCTGAGGTCTGCTAGGAAGCTTCAAGCTGACTCAAATGAGCCGCAGCGACGCAAATCCAAGCCTGAACCTCAGCAGCTATGCTGAATGTACTGTTCAGGAGCTCACAGCCATAAATCAAACTCCACAGAAGAGGGACTAAGATTTCCAAGAAGTTAAACATAGAATCAAGATTTCTCTAATTTCTGCTGTAAACTGCTATTTAATAAAAGAACAACAAAACCGAAACAAACAGAAGACCATCAAAAACACAGAAAGATATTAAAACAGCAAGTCTTTTGTACATCACATCACTGTAGCATAAGCTGTTTGAGGTTGTCATGAAGAATCGTATCCTTCACATCCCGGAAAACCAGGCGGATGTTTTCCGTGTTGATAGCAGTGGTGAAGTGGTGGTATAAGGGCTTTTGCTGCTGGTCCCGGCGCTTGTTACGGAAACATTCCACCAGGAATTTTTGGACGTCTCGTAAACAGTGGGGATCCCCTTCAAATTCTAAGAAGTAGTCTTTGATGCTCACAATTTGCACTTTCTCCTCAAGCAAGTCTGTTTTATTTAAGAAAAGAATGATGGAGACATTGCTGAAAACCCGGTTATTGACGATTGTTTCAAAAATGTTCAGCGATTCTGTCAGGCGATTGGTGAGCCGGTCTTCCATAAGCACCTGGTCAAATTCACTTGAGGAAACAAGGAACAGTATCGAAGTCACACTGTCGAAGCACTCAAACCAACGTTTCCTTTCTGATCTCTGACCCCCGACATCAACCATTTTGAAAGGAACATTTTTGATTTCAAAGTCGTACTCATGAATGCCTTTGGTGGGTCTTCTGGCAAGCAGAATATCTTGCTGTGATGGAGTGTAATCCTGGAAAAGAAAAACCGAGGTTTATACTTCACAATTTACAAGGCATTCTTAGAGCGTTCCATGCACTATTAACCAGCCTAGGGAATGGAAATGGCCACAAAACATTCTTTTAAACATTTCTGATAACATTAAAGCATCAGTATTATTTGTCTTCTTCTCATTATAAACTACCAAGATACAGTCAAGTGTTGGTCTACACAGACTGGTTGTTCAAATGTCACACAAATGACCAGGAGCTATGATTTTTTGAACCCAAGCCATACTATAATCAGCTAAGTGTATATGTATGTCTGACCTACCAGTTGTCTTCCTGGCACTCGCTGTACCTGTCTTCACTACTATGACTCACCTTTACACACCTGAGCTCGTCGGAGCGATCCCCTTACTGGTCACACACACCTGCTCCTTGGTCCTAAGATCCGACATGCGGACTCTCGTGGGAAAGTTCCAACTCCTCTCTAACACACCCTCAGTGCTCCTTTCTATGGACCACCCTCCTTCCGCCCCTTCAGGGCTCAGAACTCCTCCCCCTGACTTCACTGCTGCTATAGTCCCTGGGCGCAAAACACTAACCACCACTCACAAACCAGCTGTACTTTAGGGAACTTCTGAGGGCTGTGTCCAGGGTCCACGCTAAGTTGCTATGTCCCAGCTTTCTCCTTCATGAGGCGCTCACAGGTCTCTTTGTCTACCTGCCATCACCTGGCCAGCCTGCTTGGTGAGCTCTCCCGTGGATGCGGCGTCCCTGAGGTGTAAGACCTTGAGTACACAAAAACCGCCCAGGCAACACGCTCCTTGTGCAATATAACCGCTTCTTTCCTCTCTGCCTAAAAGCAAGAGCGCTTTTAATATAATTGAGGTCATTTCCAATGTTTGCTGCAATGAAAACTCTCAGGTATTGACACTTTTCTTCTTTTGGACTAATTCCTGAGACAAAATAAGCAGGAGTAAGGCTGTAAGGGCAAAGGTCATAGACAGTTTGATGATACAGGACATTTACGAATAAACCGCTTCCCAGAAAGGTGGTACAAATGATGAGGACAAGGGCATGCCACCTGCTTCAGAAACAGACCAGCAGAGGGCTTACTTTAAATTTCTTATTTCTGCATTTAAGAAAAGCTATTTTCTGTCTAACTGTAGGATAGGACGCTGAGGGCTAACTCACACTGGAGCACAATGGGCTCACATACGACACGGTCTGGCAGAGTATACTCGCCACATCCTAGCTATGTGATCCTAGACAATCCACCTAGCTCTTCTCTGCCTCCATTTCTTCGCATGTAAAATACAGAAAGTGACATGCATGGCGTTCCTGTGAGGATTAAATGACTTGCATGGGTAAATCATGAAGAACTGTGTCTACAGACAACCTACGTGCCAGCTGTCCCTACTGCGTCCACCCTGACCACCGCTACTGCCCAAGGAGACGTCAGAATAGCTGGTTAAGTCTCTTGCTGTGAAATGCTCACCAGTCATCAAGCACAACACAGTCACAAAGAAAACCTCGTCTTCCTCTCACCAACTCCCCTACAACCCTTTAGTTTGCTTTCCTTTCTGCTTCCCACCTCACCAACAAAGCAGTAGTTGTTAAGTACGGTCAAGTCAGTTCTGACTCATAGCGACCCTGTAGAGGGTTTCCGAGGAGCAGTTGATGAGCTTGAACCATAGACCTTGTGGTTCAAACCAATCTTGTGGTCCAGCGCATTAACCAGCAGTGCCACACCAGGACTCCCTCACCAACGCTAGCAGTGCTGAGTCTTTCTCACTCCCCGTGGGCACCTCTACTTTTGTAGCCACTCCCTTGAGCCCCCTTCTTATCCTTTTCTTCTTGTCTTTATTCCCACTGCCCCCATTTTTCACCATCTCTGATATGGGCCGCAGCGCCACCCAGCTTCTTTGTCTCCAAACTCTTGCACCTCTTGGGCTGACCTAGCCTCTCCCTGAGTAACCCTGTGACATCTTGGGTCCCAGAACTTACAGTAAGGACTCCCCGTACCTGGTCCATTCTGGTGTCTGGGCTCCTGTTCACCTCAGGACTTAGCAGCATCTAGACCTGCACAGAGCTTGACTTCTTAATACCGTTACATGCCCACTCATGCAACGTGACTGCCTTCTAGAAACCTGCCCAAGCCCAGAACTTCGTATCCTTCATCAGATAAGTATACTTCCTAAGACTCAATACACCCAAACTTCTCCTATTTTGGTGGGCCACATCTTCTCTTGACATCCGAACCCAACCCATCCTCAGAGAACCCACTTTCATTTACCTGCACTGACTAGCTCAACCTCTCCAGCTCAAAACGTCTCTCTGCTATAGGAAGCTAACACGACCTTCAGGAGTCACGCTCATCTGATTGTCCTCTGCTTGCTTTACAGGCCAGTTTGGTCTCTGACTGGGAACCTTACATAATAGTGATCAGAGAGCTAAACTGCTGACACTGAGCGCCACCGCCTCCATGCAAGGAAGGCAGCATCGCACACAGCTCACAGACTTGTTTCATCTAACTGTCTGGTTTTCTCACTATGCCAGGTTACACGGGCAGGACAGAGGTTTAGAGACTCAGCTATGACCTGACAACAAGCAACAACAACAAAAGGGTCCCACTGCACCAGTGTGTGATGGAGCTGAGATTGTACCCCAGGTGTCCTGGACAGCTGTGCCGGGCCTTAGCACAAGAGGGGTTTCAATGGCCTGGGGCGGCTCTGGTATGAGGCAGAGCGGTGAAGGCAGCCCTGCCAATGTGTCTGACAGGCACAAACACGCAGAACCACAGTACAGTAGTCCAGCTAAGTAGCCACCAACCCAGGAGACCAATGACTGCATACCGCGGGGCTTTCAAAGCTGCGGCCTTTTGGAAGCCGACTGACTGCTAGACCTGTCTTCCAAGGCACCACACTGGCAGGAGACCAGAATCCAACGCAGCTTGTTTTCCCTTAACAACAACTTACTGAGCCCAACATGTTTTCCTTTTTATTCCGAGTGTAGTCTCAGACTTGCTCTCCACACAGTATTCGAGGAACCACTACGAATTGTTCAAAAACATTCAAAAGTTACATACAGATCTGATTTTTTTTTTCCCCCATCAAAGTCAATTTACTCATTTTCATAACTGTACTACTGTTGTGGCTAAGTGCTGTTGAGCCGGTTCCGACTCAAAGAGACCTTTATACAGAGTTTCCAAGGAGCGGCTGGTGAGCTTGAACCGCCGACTATGAGGTTCAAACCAACCTTGCAGTCCAGTGCATTAACCCACAGATAATTTTGCATTTAAGAGAAGATGCGTGAAAGCTACACAGGACACTTTAAAAAATATATTTCCTTGTGTTTTTGGTGAAAGTTTACACTGCAAAGAAAGTTCTCATTTGACAATCTGAATGCAAATTATCCCGGGACTTAAATCTTCACAGTGTATCAGCCTTCGCAACGTTTCCCTCTGTTCTGCTTCTGGATAAATGCTGACATTTGGTCTCATGCAGCTGACTGTTTAAGGGACACATCACGCATGGCAGGGTCACTGCATGCCACGCCAGGCACGGGCACTCCACTGACCACACTATGGAGATGAAGTCCCTCATGGGGAGAGGTAGGCAGCAATCATGCTAACATAAATCCACCGTACCTAGTGCAGTGAGAGAATGCAAGGGCTGAGGTGGCGCTGCGAGGACCAACTCTGAATGGTGTGCTCAGGGAAGGACCACCTTACGAGGCCAACTGAGAAGAGGACATCAAGTCAGCATGATCCTGATGGGAGATGCTAAAATAATTCCTATAAAGAATTGTCCTTTAAGATGTCTCTCCATTAAGCCTCGATTTGATTTTTAGGGCTGAGAATGTGACCAGAGGGAAAAATGAAATACATGCCTCCAAACTGACCTAATGAGTAAAAACTGATAAATACAATGATCGGAACATCTGGGGTCCCCTGGGTCTAAGAAGCAGGGGAAAAGCACAGGGAGAATCCACAAATGACCCTTGTCAGGCAAAAAGACACTTTCCCCACATGTTCTAGGTGTTGTGCACTGACTCACAGCAAGCCTGGGTAGGTTTCCGAGGAGCGGCTGGTGGGTTTGAACTGCCGAGCTTACACTTAGCAATACAGTGCTGATCCAACAGTGCCACATCAGGACTTCCCACAAGACACTAGTCCAAATACCTACACTATGATGCACCTTCTCTACTTGCAAGAGGTTTCACTTTGTGCTTTCTTTCAGTTACATATGGGTGTATATTTAAAATCTAAAATGATATTAAATAAAACAGTTCAAAGACCGTGCTAAAATGTCAAACAGACATTTGCTCGAAGAGAGAGAAACTACTATGGTAGAGGCGGTATCAAACGACCCCAGGGTCAGAGCTTCCACGCGTGTTCTAAGCAGCTGTTGCTGCTACCTTTCTTCCCTCCACTGAACTCTTTCATAGTCCACTGGTCCACAGAACAGATAACCGGGGCTGGCCACGGCACTACAGCACAGCTGGCTTGGAGCAACCCACCAAAGCACGCGTGGGGAACCCTTCATCTGCCATGGCCATTTAAAACATCACGGGTGGGCCATACAAAATTGCTGTTGTTGTTAAGTGCCGTCGAGTCAGCTCTGACTCATGGTGACCCTGTCTAAGGTTTCAGAGGAGAGGCTGGTGAATTTTAACTGCCAGCCTAGTGGTTTAAACAGATGTTGTGGTCCAGTGCCTTATCCTGCTATACCAGGACTCAAAATTACCAACTTACAAAGTAACCTGCTATATTTGGTCAAACATTTAATGAACTCACCCCTAATGTGATGGCTGGAACTGTGGTTGCCTTGGCAGGGCCAGACCAAATGATTTTGAGGGTCTTATATGGCCTGCAGCCCGGAGTTCCCCACCCCTGTGCTAGAGGAAAAGAATAAAGTCTCCCAGACGCCTGTTTCCCCTTCCTCGAGGCATCCCTCAGCTGGCCTGCAGAATCCAGACCTCCAACACTGTTAGTGCAAAGAGGCCCAAACTGGAAAATGCTGTTGGCAACACTTTGAAATCATTCACCCCATGGGTTCTTTCTGCTGCTACTTGCAAGAAGAAGAGGACAAAAAAAAAAAGACACCAAAGTGTAACAGATTATATGCAATTTGCTTTTGTCAAACAGTTCTACTTTCATAAAACAGTGGATAGGGCATTTCTGGAAGAAACTGCAGTGACGTGACTCTCAAGTGAAAAACAAAACCAATTTTTTTGTGGGGGGGGGGGACAAGAAATCAACATTTTCAGCCTACTCATCAGCCTTTAAACAAGTAGACAAAGTCACAGTACTACAGCTAGGAAAAAGAAAGACGCAGACAGCCTGAAACAGCAGTCTGACAAGCTGCCCTCCAATCAAAACATCAGGACTTGACTACGATTTTCAAGTGGCAATAATCCAGAAAACGTTCCATTTTAAAACTTACTTGTTCTCCAAGCTTATCCAAGTTATCCAGGAAATATTTTACAGATTCCCCCTAAAAACAAGCAGAAGAAAAACAGACATTAGGGGCTTAGAAAGAGAAGATTTTTTTACAACAATTTATAGTATACGGTCTGGTTGAACACTTAATCCAAACATATCTGCTTAGTCACCAATTTCAGACTGAACTCGTCTAAAAACTCTGCCTTGGCCATGAAATGCTGACTCTGAAGAGCCCAGTGAGCTACACGGACACTTTACAAAAGCGACACCCCAAGTGGTCACCTACTTGCACAGTTGGTAAGCTTTCTTCCTAAAATCACTTGCCCCAAAGGAAGATTGCAAGCAAAATGTGGAAACCAGTATTAAGATGAATGTAATTATACAAGTAAACCTAGGGGGATTTGTCTTTGTCTACATTTTTCTCTCAATTTTATAGAAAATGGTGCTTATCTTCAGCAACCCGAGACTGGAAACTGAGCACAAGTGCACTGAGACAGAGTTGCCTTGCTTCGAAGGCGTCCAGGGAACTCTTCAGGCTTCCCCGTCTGCCAGAGGTCTTTCCTCTTCACTGAGCCACCCTCCCTAAGACCCGAATTCCCAGTAGATCACCAGGCAATTGCAAACATCTCAACTGAATGGGAAAGCCTTCCTAAAAGGAAACACTGGACCAGAGCACAGACTGATCAGAGGGGAGCCAGGTGGGGGAAGAAGGGCCTTCCGTCACTCAGCTTCCCCGAGTCTGTCTGTCAGCTGGCTTTCCACTACAGCCTGGAGACCCACCACAGCCTGAACTGGGCAGCAGAGTCACCTGAAATCTTCTGAGGCTGCAGGCTCTGACACAATGGCTCAGGGGGAGGGCCCCGTCTTTACAATTTGGGCAGTGCCCAGGACCACACACTGAAGTCACAAGACTTGAAAGAAAGGCAACTCTAGCACTTCTGGTGTCTGTCACAAAGAGCTTGATTTAAACTTAATTTCAGCATGGATGTATGCTATAAGGACCCCTGGTACATAGTGGGTTATGAGTTGGGCTGCTAACCACAGGTCTTTCTGCCCTTATAAAGATTTATAGCCTTGGAAACCCTCAACAGGGAAGCTGTGAGTCTGAACCAACTCCACGACCGACATAAACCACCACCACCCTGAGTGACTTAGTCACAGTGACCCCATGTCACCAAGAATTGCCCCATTGGGTCTTCTGGTTATTATCTCACGGAAGCCGATTCCCGGGTATTTCTCACAGGGAGTAGCTCTGAACCACCAACTCTTCAGTTGGCAGCACTTAACCAGTGCACCACCAGGACTCATGTTCATCTAGGTAGCCTACGCCTATTGGTATTTATTGATTTTATTAAAGAAAAAATGACTTAAAAAATTAATAAAAAAAAAAAAAAACTATACATCCAGTCAGTACATGTTATTGATATTTTGGAAGAAAGGGGCTTCAGAAACTTTGTGGGAAAATGGATGAAAAGACAACGGGATTTTTCCATGAACCCCTTTGAATGGATTACTAGAAGCTAACTGGAGTTTCGTTATCTGTGTCACCAAAGTGGGGCAACAGGCTATGGCTATTTGGATGGTGGTATATGGAGATGATGGAGTCATGGTGTGGTGCTGTGGGTTAATGTGTCAGACGGCTACGCCGTTTGAACTGCAAGGTCAGCGGTTCAAGCTCACCAGCTACTCCTTGGAAACCCTATACAGGGTCGCTATGGGTTGGAACCGACTCGACGGCACTTCACAACAACCTATGGAGATGATATGGTCTTACACAGGAACGTAGTTGGAAAAGGGAGGAATATTTCAACAGCCTGTTCAAGTGGTTGCAAAAACTCTTTACATCAACCTGACAAGTGGTAGTTCCTTAAATTGCACAGTGAAATCTGAAACCTTATATCAATACATTTTGGTACTGTTCCAAAAAAATAGTAATAATAATAACCCACTGGTCTATATGTCCTGAATTCTGAATGGGTTTTTATCCACACACCATTCTGAAACATTAGACACACATCATATGGAATACACTGGGTCACTAAGTTATGCAGATCTCTCAAATACGGACACATTTCTTTATACAAAATAAACAAGCAGTCATTAACATACCCATCAACCTTATCAGAAATCTTCAATAATGGGAACCCATTGAATGGCGTTTCCCTAAAGTCTAATGTTCAAACTAAATTTTATCACTGATACCAAATGTTCTTGTTAGGTGGTCTGAGTCAGTTCCAACTCACAGCCCCCCCTCCCCCCTCCCCCCTCCCCGTGTATAACAGTATGCAGGGCCCGTTGGGGCCAGGGTTGGAGCCATTGTGTCAATCCATCTGGTTGAGAGCCTTCCTCTTTCTTACTGGCCCTCTTCTTTAGCAAGCACGATGACCTTCTCCAGGGCCTGCTCCCTCTCAGTTAACTTCTAGTAACAGGCTTACGTCATGCATTTTGTACAAACTATCTGCCAAAAGTCCAGTTCCTCAATAAGCCCATTTTTCAAGAGGAATGGTATTCTGTGAAAACGGTGGCTAGTGTAGCTCACAACACAACGGCAGCGTAAGGGCGTTCCCTCAGGACAAGCAGCCCACTCAGTGCCTACAGGAGTGGGGGCAGCGCCCCTCCCGTTTTGTTATTAGACTGCTCACTACTCCAGAACTGAGATTGTGTACAATTCATTCTCTTCTTAATTCATTAATCAAGGATACTGGTGTGGTGCTATTGGATCAGCATTTGACTACGAACCATAAAGTTGGAGGTTCAAACCCACCAGCTGCTCCTTGGAAACCCTGTACAGGCTCGCTTCGAGCTGGAATCAACTTGATGACACTTAACAACAACACTGTTAGGTGAGGCTGGGTTGATTTTTTTTTTTTTTTTTTTTACCGCAAATGCATGGCAGCGAGGACCAGTGGGACAAGTTTGAGGCCAGCACGCTGATGGGCATCAGGACTCCCGCAGCGTTGTCCCCTGTGGTTCTGCCCCATCACTCCAAGGATCAACACAGGGAAAAACGAAAATACCACCTCAGTGTCATCAGGAAGGCCCCCAAGAAAGAGCATCAGGGGTCCATGGGCAGCACTTTGAGAACTGTTGCTTAAAGTACCTCATTGTTATTAAGTGCTGTCAAGTCCGTTCCTACTCACAGCGCCTCTGTACATGGTTGTTGAGGAGCAGCTGGTGAGTCCCCAGTCCAGTGCTAACCCTACAGCACCACACGAGGAGCTGCTCATGGAGGGCTACATGTGTATTCATGTATGTGGCGGTTGTTATTGTTGACAAAGAGAGACTGTTTCTGAGGCTTTAAAATCTTTGCAGGAGCAGAAAGCCTCATCTTTCTCCTAGGGAATGGCTAGTGGGCTTCGAACTTATGACCTTGTGGTTCGCAGTCCAGTGTTCATCACATGGAGCCACTGCACTTCCTATGTGGTGGTACCGTGTGATTTCCTTATGACTGCAACTGGTGGAAAACTAGTTAGTTTTTCTGGACCTGAAATACTGGCACAGTGTTAAGATATGTCTAGTAGCAAATGTGATGTTTAGGAGAAAGAAAAAAGACAGAGAGGTTGTTCTGGTCAAATCTGTATGGATACTGTGAACATATGTCAACCTTGCTACTCAAGAAGTATTTACAATTTTTGATGAGTAACATCACAGGCAAAAGGAAAGCTAAGATTCATGGTTAAATCATGGTATCAGTATTTACTTATAGGACTGTACAACACAAATGAGGCTTTACATCAAATGTACTTCAAAAATAAAATCCAAATAGACACCACAATTCGATTACACTGAAGTGTACACACAAGAACAACCCGGGCAGATACAAGACAGTCACTATTTATGTCTGAGCCGCACTAACCAAACTGTCACCTTTTAGGTACATGGTGTGTACATTTGAATACTTACAAAATTTAAATATTTTTAAATGAAACTGAACACATTTCAAAATTGGTTCTGACTGCTAGTGTTGAGCATTGCTTGATGGCTTCTTTTTCGCCTTCCCAAGTCATGTGAATTTACTGAAGGGAATGTAAAAGCTAGGTGCAGAGAAGGAAGCTGGCATTAAGCTCTCAGTGTACCACTCAGAGACGACCACAGCTACCACCTGAGCAGAGTTCCTGCCAAAGACTTTTTTGTGCATACTTGCCATGTTGTTGTTAAGTGCCTACGAGTCAGTTTCAACTCATAGCAATTCTGTATAGGGTTTCCGAGGAGTGGATGGTAGGTTTGAACCACCAACCTTGTGGTTCAAACTCACCTTACAGTGTGGTGTTATCCTACACTTTCCATTGTTGAAGAATATACGAAGAGACAACTTTGCATACTGAGTTTTTCCATCTAAGTGGGTCATGAAGTAAACTTGAACAGTACTGTAACAATCCCCAGTATTTATATGCTAAGAAGTTAACAGAACACCATGAACGTAATGTTGGGTTATGTAAATTATTTCCTTATTGTCACGGAAGACACTTTTTGTGATAAACAGCTGTGCATATATAGCTTTATGTGGGGTTTATTTTGAGTGATCTCAGAATTACAAAGACAGAAAGGATGAACATTTTCTAAGACTTCCAGAGCTCACTACCACTGAGGCCCTGCCAAGTCTCTCTTAAACACTCCCCTTGCCAAGCACTGAGTCTAGTCTTTAACAAAGAATCGAAGAAGACAAACTAAGCTGAGGTCACATAAGAACAAGTGTTTTGCAGATGCTTCTATAATTAACTAAGCCGCACACTCTGAGGCCCCCTACATTGTGGTGACTGATACTCATCTTTTTCAGAGACACTGGAGCAAAAGAACTCTGTTTAAGTGAAAGCAACACCTCCCACATCCAAGTCAACAAGAAAAATTCAAAAACACAAAAATTTCAGTACATATTATCTTAACTGATGGCCAAAGAAATGACAGATAAAGTGACCTTAAGATGACTATACAGTGTATCTAAAACAAAACCCACCCACCCCCACCTATTAAAGACAGATGATTATATCCAAGCTGTTAAAGCTGCATGCTCATGCTAGTAACCTTCAAACTCACACAGGCCTCACTACACTA